CCAAATAAAGTGTTTCACTTTCCCCAGCACCTTTAATTTCAAGCTCTTATCTCTCACTTTGGCCTCAGTCTTAACATTCCTGCTACTTTGAGCTTTTGCCTGCTTCAGAACCTTGTCAGTGATTAGCCTGGCATAAGTAGCTTTCACAGAGAACACACCTTTCTTGCTCACAGTCCAAACCCAGTCATCTGCTTGAGAGGGATCTAATGTTTCAATATTTAGAACAGCCCTGCAGAAATCTGGAGAGAATGTATTCATCACTTTGGCTTCATCCTATGCTCTTCCATCCTCAGTAAGCAGATCTTTAACCCACACCAATCTCATGTCCATCCCTTCTACTAACTCCACAGGCTTGCCTAAGAAATCAGGGATCCAATGTTGATCCCAAATCTTAATACTGCTACCATCTCTAACATGTCTTCTCATCCAACCCCCACATTTCTCTAGAACAGCCAACCAACTATTCCAAAGCCATGAGGAGTTCTGCTTCCTCTGAGCTTCAAACAAATCAGTATTAGGAAAATATTTCATTTTAAGCACTTTGCTCACAAGCCTGTCAGGTTCTGTGACAATCTTCCACAGTTGCTTGGCAATGAGAGCCAAATTAAACAATTGCACATCCTGAAAACCCAACCTCTATGAGCTTTGGAAACTGTAAGTTTATTCCATTCAACCCAATGCATACCTTTGCTAAACTCTGAGCCCTTACTCCACCAAAACTGACCACATATGCTAGATATCTCTCTACAGAGCCCAATAGGGAGTACAAAACATGACATTGCAAAGACAGGTAATGCATTAAGCACAGCCTTTATAAGAATTTCTTTACCTGCAGATGAAAGCCATCTATTCTTCCAATTACAGATTCTACTCCTCACCACTGCAATGATGTAATCAAAAGCTTCCTTTTTGGATTTCCCAATCCTAAGTGGCAGTCCCAAGTATCTGGTAGAAGAGTGCCTTGTGATACCTCTGAATTTTGATCATACTTTGTCCTGAGTCTCTACAAATGCATTTTTGCTGAAGAAAACTGTTGACTTGCTCATACTCACCTGCTGCCCAGAGAACTCATGAAAATCATTGAGAATATTAAGAATCGGCCCTGCTTGCTCTTCATCTGCCTTACAAAACACCAAGGTGTCATCTGCAAACATTAGGTGAGTAAGTGTGGGCCCCCCTTTAGCAAGCCTCAGCCCTCTGAACCTACCCTTCTCAGCCTCATCTTTAATCCTCACAGACAACAATTCAGAAATGATGAGAAATAAATAAGGAGATAGAGGATCCCCTTGTTTGATTCCTCTAGAAGCAGAAACATACCTACAACACTTCCCATTAATATTAAAGGAGAAGGAAGGGAACTGAATGCAAGCCAATATCAATTTTACAAACAATCTGTGAAACCCCATCCTAATCATAGTAAGTTGCACTGCTTTCCATTCTACACAGTTATAAGCCTTCATAATGTCTAACTTTAGAGCCATGAAGCAGTTCTTACCACTCATGTGCCTATTCAGATAGTGAAAAACTTCATGTCTAATGACCACATTGTCAAGGAGCTGCCTACCAGGCACAAAGGCATTCTGATTCTCAGAAATACAGACAGAAAGACAATCCCTCAATCTATTTGCCAATATTTTTGAAAAGATTTTATAGAAGACATCACACAGACTGATAGGTCTAAACTGAGTAACAGACATAGGGTTAGAACATTTGGGTATCAGAGTGATCAAAGAGTATTTCCAGTACCTCAACATTTGCCTTGAAGTAAAAAAGCTCTGCACAGCATGGCATATGTCCTCCTTCACTATGGGCCAGAAATGCTGGTAGGAAATTCCAGTCATCCCATCTTCCCCGGGAGCCTTCTCAGGATGAATGCTAAAGACTGCATGCTTTATATCATCTTTCTCCACAGGACCAATAAGAACATTGTTCATATCCTCTGTAATAGACTGGCCAATAAGAGGCAAGAATTTATGGCCACTGGCAGATCCTTTAGTAGAGAACAGCTTCCCATAATACTCTGTAATAATTTTTTCTATACCATCCTGCTCCTCTATCAAGACACCCCTCTGATTCAACAACTTATCAATGGAATTCATCTTTCTCCACTGTGTAGTGAAGGCATGAAAAAACTTTGTATTTCTGTCACCTTCTTTCAACCACAAAACCCTGGCCTTCTGCTGCCAAAACAATTCTTCCTCACCATTAGCCTCATCTAACTCCTTTTTAATCCTGTCCCATGTTTCCCAATGTCTGTCACCCCCTCCTGCCTCATTTCTTCAAGCTGCAAAGTAAGATTAGAGATCCTCTGATTATTCTGGGATTGAAAATACCTACTCCACTCTTCAATCTTTAAATCAAAATTCAACTCAACTTTATCCATTTTAGCTCTCTTCAATAATTTGTTAATATCAATCAATACTCCACATCAATTTTAATTCACTATTTATCCACTCACATAATTGCTAAAACTAAGAGATAATATATATGTGTATTTTCCATTGCTTGTAATTGAGATTACATCAAATAGATAGAGGTTGCAAGAAATAAAAAACAAATTAAGATCAAATCAAATATCTAATTACCAAAATAATTATACCAAATCAAGATCATATCAAACCAAAGATATCTTATGAAGCCTATCTTAACACCCCCTCTCAAGTTGGTGCATGAAGATTTCGAATGCCCAACTTGCTTTAGAAATTCCGAGAAATCCTGGCCACCCAATGCTTTGGTGAAGATGTCTGCTAGCTGAGCTTCGGTAGAAACATAATCAGGAGCGATAAGAGGACCGAAGGATTGAAGGATATAGGACCGAATGACTTGATCAAATGTATTTAATATCCAAAGGACTGAAGAACAGAAAACCAAAGGAACATATGACCGAAGGACTTTACCAATTGTATTTAATATCCAAAGGACCAAAGGATTGAAGGACGAAGGACTTTTTTTAAAATGACTTGATCAATTGTATTTAATCATTTAGGAACCCATCTAATGGAAGAGAAATTGAACCATATAAGAACCAGATTTTTTTTTTTTTTTTTTTTTTTTGGGTACCCAGAGAGCAGTCTGGTGAGAAGGAGACATGAATTAAGAAAAGAAAAATATAGTAATGAGAACAACGGTGGTGAAAAATCATGGCTCTGATACCATGCTAAAATTAACAGTGAATACATATGTCTATTTTCCCTTGCTTGTAATATTGAGATACATTCCATATATAGAGGTGCAAGAAATAAACAACAAATCAAGATCAAATCAAATATCTAATTACCAAAATAATTATTACCAAATCAAGATTATATCAAACCAAAGATAACTTATGAAGGCTATCTTAACAATAATTTTAATTATTCATCATTTACACTCACTTCTCTTATTTTTACATCGAACCAATTTTAATTAATCCTTTTTAAATTGTCTTTAAATATAAACTCAAAGTTCAACTCTATTCTACATTCATTAGACTTTATTAAAAATAACCTGCTTTATCCAATAAACTCAATCAAAAGTGAAATATATATATATATATATATAC